AGTACAAGTTCTCATATGTCCTGAGTCTTAATTGGTTCACTGTCTTCTTGATACCCAGCCTCCAAATTATCTCTGTCCATATCTTCTTCCCACTATGGCCACAGAAGCCTTGGTTTCAGCACTTTTATTGTTGCAAACATTTTCTAAGTGCTAACATTGTTCCTTGTATTCTCCCTTGATTGTATCATATAAAGAGATACCAAATTAATTTTCAAAAGCACTTTATTTCACCAAAACGTATTTCTGTTTTAAAAATACTCAGTAATGGGGCCGGGGAGATGGCTCAGTGGAATAAGCACTTCCCTGGCAAGCGCAAGGCCCTGAGTTCAATCCCCGGTTCCGCCAAAAAAAAAAACAAAAAAACAAAAAAACAAAAAACTCAGTAACTTCCTATTATCTTCAGCATGAGTTCAGCACCCTCCCGAATGAGGTCCTCACATAATCTCTTAAACTATCCTGTGGGATAAGTTAGTCCGGGCACTCATTTTCATCTTGCTTTTAGTTTGTAGAAATAAGTTTGAATTTCTGAATATGCTTGTTATTGAGCTTAATTTTGTGTCAGTAACATATGAAGTATATTTTCTTTTTATGTACTTGATTATTTTTTATGAGGCTAAGGATGGAACTCATCACTTTGTGCATACTAGCCATGTACTCTACTATTGAGTTATACCCCCCAGATCTTTGGTTGTTGATAAATACCATTAAATATAATGGAATAAGGATACAAGGATATGTCTGAATGTCTGAATTATCTATAAGACTGAAATTGTTTTGAATCAGAGGTTCAATTGCCATTGTTTGTGAAAAATGATCTTAGGCTCTTTGGTATATCCTTACTTAACATTTAATAGCTTTTTGTGTCCTTCCTGCATTCATTCATCAAGCATTGGTTGAGCATTCCTTTCATAGTCAGCCCTCTGTATCCAAGGGGGATATGGAATATTTAACAATTTGTCAAATATATCTGTATTTAACCACTTTCAGATCAAAAATTATTTTTGTAAAGAACATGTATAGATTTTTCCTTATCATTCCTTAAACAATATAGTACTGAGACTATGAGTCCCATCTATGTAGTGAGACTCTGTAGACCCTGTGTTAAATACATAAAAAATAATATAGTACTATATATATGGCATTCATATGTATTAAATACTTAAGTAATATAGCAATGATATAAAGTATGTGGGAGGATGTCCATAGGTTCCATGCAAATACTGCATCATTTTATATAATGGATTCAAGCATTCATGGATTTTGTGTTTTTTTTTTTTTGCAATGATGTCTTTTATTACACATAGGTTTTTATAATTCTTCAGTCTCTCCGTACACAGACAAAAGTGTACTGTTTAGCATACTGGAACTTGCAAATTTACTCATTGCCTACAAAGGGAAAATTATCCCCAAAGCGCGCTTAACTGGGAGGCCAGTGCATCTGCCGCCCACCAAGCACGTGCAGGTGAACGTGATAGATGGACTGGCCCCCGTCTGCGCCTTCGTTCACCACCATTCGATAACCCTTGTTCAGGCCTAGGTCAGCCGCGCACTTCTTGCCAACGATCATTAAATGTCCAAGAAGACTTTCATCATCATCTTCTGCTACAGAGATCTGGGCAATATGTTTTTTGGGAATCACCAGAAAATGAGTTGGTGCCTGGGGGGAGATGTCGTAGAAGGCAAGGCACTGGTCGTCCTCGAAAATGATCTTGGCGGGGATCTCCTTGCGGATGATCTTCCCGAAGATCGTGTCGCCGCCAGGCCGGGCGACCTGAGCCTTGGCGATCTCGTCTGCCATCGCTCGTCTCGCGCGCGTGGCCGCCATTCATGGATTTTGGAACAAATCCATTATAGACTCTAAGAGATAGTTGTAATAGGTCTCTTTCCCTCAGAAGGTAAAGCTGTTTGGAAACCATTATTTTCTTTAAATATTGAAGCCAGCTTTAATTTGTTAATATGTTTTGCCTTAGGTGAAAACTGTTGAAGAAATGTTGGGCATTTTTTTTTTTTTTTTTTTTTCAGAGATAGGGTTTGAACTCAGGCCCTTGGGCTTGCCAGGCAAGGACTTATTCATCTGAGCTATCTCCCCGGCCCCTGGGCATTTGTTTAGACACTTATGAATTAACTCCTATCATTCTATATTCTGATTACATATGAAGAAACACTATTCCAAGTACAGTTGTGTAGCACACTAATTGTTTTAGTATGTTGCTGAGTCAGAAATTCACAAAGGACAAAGTGGGGTTGACTTCTATGACTCTCCTTAAAATGCTGTACTCACAGGCTGGGGTTGACTCAACAGCTAAGGCTATCACTATCTGGGAACATGGTCACTTGTATATGCATATGGCACTTGGGTGAGAGTACGTGAAAAATTGCCATCTGAGCACTTTTATGTGGCCTGCCCATGTGGTACACCTTTCTCCTGGCAATGGCAACCTCATGAGAGTCCCTTCCTGGTGGCTCAGAAGTCCAATCATGACTCTCTCTGTGGACTAGATAGGACCATGTTGCTATCTCTGAGATGAGGCAGTCACTCAGAAGCATTACTGATGCATACTATTGGGTTCAAATGAGACACAGCTCCTGAAATTTTACAGGAGGCCACAATTTTCACTGGGAAGAATGTTGAGGAATTTGAAAGTTTGCTTTAAAATTGTCACATATATGAATTGAGGATACAGCTTTAGCTACTGCCTTTGGAAAATGACTCAGTTGTCTGGTGTGTTGGGCACTACCTATTTACTTAATGCAGGTAACTCAGGGTAAAAATTTGAAGAACAAACATAATGATCACTTGCTTATACTTATCAAAGTTCAGGAGGACTAGCCTTTTGTTTTTACAGTTGTTGAAGTCCCCTTTATAAAAAGAAATGTGGTTAAGAACATGTCTTTAGTTTTGTTTTTCTCTTCTTTAATAGCCCAGCATCAATATTTTGGACTTTAAAAAAAAGATGCTTCTGGGAGTTTCACCATTTGGCACCTGGCGGTAGGTGGGAAATGTCATTACATAAACCCCCATTCGAGTTAAGAGGCAGGTGGTATTTTTGGAGAAGCCAGTGTCAACAAGGGGCTATAGCCACACTGACTGCCTCCAGCCCATCTGCAGAGACATTTCTGTCTTTGACAAGTAAAACCCCCTCCCTCTGCCTGCTTTGCCTGCCTCCCTGAGTTCCCCTTTTCATTTGCCCTTGAGTTTCAACTTGATGAGTCTCAAAAGGAGTCCAGGCCACTGGATCCTACCTGGCAAGAACTTCAAAGGCTGTGGCTGTGAAGAGGGGCTGTTTTCTGCTCCTATCACATCTTGTTGTTTCACTAAACAAATATTCATTGAAAGACTTTTTTAAAAAAAGTCTTAAAAAGCAAGTACTAACTAGGATGTAGAGTGACCAAAGAATAAACCAAATTAAACACAGTCCCTACCTTCAAGGAACTTAGGTGTTGGGAAGACTGAAGTTGCAGCTTGTTCATCTGTACAGGAGAGGTGTGAGGAGATTTTAAGGATTATACTAAGTGGAGTTGACATTGAGAGTTCAGGGGATATTCCCCAAGGAAATAGCAAGGGAGCTAGAAGCTGAGGATATGTGGGTGTTAATGAGGAAAAGAAGGAAGAGAACAGCCTATGGGATGAGAGGACAGTGTGAATTCAAAGGACTCAGTGTGAGGAAAGACTGTGTAAACGGACAGGAGAGTGAGGAGGAGTAGGGTAAAAAGAGTAGAAAAATGTGAGGAGGGTGAGGGCAAACTGCACAAAGCCTGGAGATCATGAGATATCCCTTAGTGTTCTCTAGAGAAACAGAACAGTGTGTGTGTGTGTGTGTGTGTGTGTGTGCGCGCGCGCATGTGCATGTGTGCAAGCACATGCTTGTGTGTTGCCTTATCAATACATAATTGTAAAGTCCAAAGTCTGTAGGGTAGGCTGGCAAGGATACTAGAAACTTAGGGAAGAAGTGATGCAGTAATCTGGAGACAAATTTTCTCTTTTAGGAAATAATTTGTCTTTTCTAAAAAAAAATCTCGATTTTTACTGTTAAGGCTTTCAACTGATTAGATGAAGCCTGCTGACCAATTATAGATGGTAAGTACAGTCCATCTAGCCAGTATTTTCATAGCAGCATTGAGGTTAGTGTTTGGTTAAATTATTTGGTAGTACATCCTAGCAAAGTTGACACATAAAAGCATCACGTACGGTAAGGAGCCATGTTTTGACACTCAGAGTAATGAAAGACTCTGAAGAGTGATCAGAAAGATGTGGTTTGAATTTCATTTTCTGATTGTACTGTATGCTTTTAGAAACTGATTGCTGAATATCATAATCACTAGAGTTTCTTATGATGGTTGTACAGCATGAGCTCTCCAGGAGGACTGGTTCTGTCCTGCAGCATGCTCTAATGTTGGACCAGTCAAATTCTCCTCCTAGATGTGCACCTACTGTCTTGAAATTACTTCTTAGGCAACATTTCACATACTGTTTTATCTTTGCTTTTCTCTCTCTTTCCTATCAGACTGGAACTGTGCCTTGCTCACTTACCAGTGCCTCCACAGCGCCTAGGACAGTGGCTGGCACATGGCGCGCACCCAACAAGCATTTTTGGATGAAAGCCTGAATGCCTTATAAAGAGTGCCTTATGAAGAGTTAAGAAATAACAGTCCTATCATAATGCTAAAAATCATTATGCTCTTATTTCTAGCTTTTTTCCCATTGGTATGATATACAATTACTTTTTAACTTGTTCACATAGATTGCCATTTTTGAATATAACAAGTTAAGTCCATGTATAAAAATTTTTGAAATAGTTTTAGATTTATGTCAAACTTGCAAAGATAGAATAGAAGAGTTCCTCCACCCAGTTCTGTTAATGGTAACATCTTTGATCACGGTACATTGTCAAAACAAAGTAATACAGGTACATTACTTTTTTTTTTTTTTTTTTTTGCAGAACTGGGGATTGAACTCAGATCCTTGCGTTTGCCAGTCAAGTGCTTATCTTACTGAGCCATCTCCCTGGCCCCTACATTACTATTAACCAAATCAGATTGCATTTAGATTTTTAGCAGTTTTCCCTTGAATATTCTCTTTCTGCTGTGTGATCCAATCCCAGGTATCACATTGTGCTTGGTTATCAAGTCTTTCCAGTCTCCTCTGTTGCATGACTATTTTTTAATCTTTGTTTTATATTACCTTGATAAGCTTCAGCATTATTGACCATAAATCCTATAAAATATTCCAAATCTGGGTTTGTCTAATGTCTCCTTATGATTAGATCAGTGTTATGGGATTTTTTTTTGGGAAGGAAACCACAGAGGAAGAGTGTCTCTCTTGTATGATATGATGTCATCTTCATATGATGTTAACCTTCATTATTTGACTAAGGTAGCATTTGTTAGGCATGTTTTACTAAATAATGTTTTTTTTTTTTTTTTTTTGGCGGAACCAGGGATTGAACTCAGGCCCTTGCGCTTGCTGGGGAAGTGCTTATTCCACTGAACCATCTCTCTGGCCCCTTAAATAATGGTTTTATTCTTACATCGACCTACTATATTTTTGGGAAGAAGTTACTAAATTTAACCCATCTTTATGTAAAGAAAATGTAATTAATAGTTCTGTAACCTAGGGTTTACACACTTAATTTAGAATTCTTATACAAGGAAGATGTGTCTCTTCTATTTCACTTATTTTCAAGCATTTACTTATATCATTATGGGTTTATGTATGCTTGTTTTATATTTTGGGCAACAATCCAAAAGGATATTATTTTATTTTGCTCTGCATATTTTTTTGTTTGTTTTTTTGTATAGTCTTGCTATGTAGTTGAGGCTAACCTTGAGCTCACTGTGCAGCCCAGGCTGTCCTCGAACTTGTAGCAATCCTCCTGCCTCTGCCTGCAAGCACTGGGATTTCAGATATGCACCATCATGCCCAGCTTTGCTGCATAAACTTTCACTTTTACAGAAACTTTTAAACTTTTACATAAACTTGGTCATGTGGAGTTCTTTCAGATTGGTTCCTGTGTTCCTTGATGTGACCCATATGTCTGGTAGGTAAACTCCCCTTATTTCCAGTACTGTCGGAGTCATCATGTATATCTTACATTGTCCTTGTCCCAGCTCCAGATCAGCCACATTTCCAGAGATCCTTAGTTTTTTTTTTTTTTTTTTTTTTTTTTTTTTCCTGTGGTACTGGGGATTGAACTCAGGACTCTATGCTTGCCAGGCAAGCATTTATTCTACCGAGCTATCTCCATGGGCTCAGTTGTTTTTTGTTGAAAAATCATATTCATCTTTCTTTCCGACATCTTGACAGGCCTACAGTGGTAGCCTCTACTCACCAGGCTCCACAATGCCACACAAGGATGACAAGAAGAAAATTGCTGGAAAGTTGGCCAAGAAAGACAAAGACCCAGTGAACAAATCTGAGGGCAAGGCCAAAAAGAAGTGGTCCAAAGTCAAAGTTTGGGACAAGCTCAACAACCTGGTTCTGTTTGATAGAGCTACTTATGACAAACTCTGTAAGGAAGTTCCCAACTATAAACTTATAACACCTGCTGTGGTCTCTGAGAGACTGAAGATCCGTGGGTCAGTGGCCAGCCCTTCAGGAGCTCCCTAGTAAAGGGCTTATCAAGCTGGTCTCAAAGCAAAGAGATCAAGTTATTTATATCAGAAATACCAAAGGTGGAGATGCCCCTTCTGCTGGTGAAGATGCATGATGAATAGGTTCAACCAAGTGTAGATTAGGAAGAAATAAAATTTTATTATTAAAAATCATATTCATAAGCTGAAATCTAGGCAATAGGTATGCTTATCACTCCTGGGCTG